CACATTTAGTATACTTCCACAACAGAATTTTTATACGTATTATTGATTCATGATAAGGAAAAAAATATTTTACTTATATTATTTTCATCTTACAAATATTTAGTTAAGTTAATTAGTTGCTTACTTTATTTTCTTAAATCCAAAAAATTACAATAAGAATCAAATTTTCATTCATATTATAGCATCTTAAGTTTAAGTAAGAATTATTTGCTAAATAGATTTTTATCATCTAAACTTTCTAATTTTCTAAAGTGCATATTATTATTTTACCTATGGGTTCAATATTCAGGGTTTAATCAAAAAGTCATAAATTACTTGATAACGATACGTATACTTGCATAGTATCCTATATTTAAATATTATAATTGTATTCTTATTTGTTTCATAGTGGAAAACTTACCTAGCTTTTGCTTGGGATCAAGTTTTTGGCGTCGTTGCAAATTAAGAAAAACTATTAAGAAAATTAAACATATAATCACATATATCGCATTTTACTTCTATATAGAAAGTCTGGATCAACCACCCATGTGAATTCCCCAAAGAGTTAAGGAGGTAGGTCTAGTGTATGTGATTTTAGGGTTTTGGGATATGTGGGGAATTTAATAGTTTTGAGTGTGTGTACGTTTGTGTGAGACCAAACTTGAGCCACCCAGGGTTGTTCTAAGGCACACAGTAGGTTGTGCAAACAAAGATATAGTTGATTTCTTGTTTGCCCATCTTTGAATTTTTTTTAAAGACTATATCATTATATGTCCCATAAAATAAAAAAGATATAGTTGATTTCATGTAATGCTCATCTTCTACTTATTTTTCCCTCACTTAATGATGAATTATTGGATAAGCATATCCACAAAATGGGAGAAGTTAAATGACCATAAGAATAGGAGATCTTTTCTAATGAATTTTCATTAATGTAATTAACTAAGTCATTATGCTGCCTAACAATATAGGCCAAAGTTGTTTTGATATTCATTACACCATAAGAAGGTGAACTTTGGTAATATTATGGCTCATTAGAAATTTATACAAAAAATAAAGCTAAATTCAAAGCTCTAATGATGGTTCGTGACCTTAGATTTAGTACAAAAATTCAAAGACTCAACATAGAAAAATTCTCATGTGTGGTTGTGTTTTCTCCATGTGTGGTTATATTTTCTCCATGAATTCTCAACTCATAATCAAATAAATATTGGTTACTTTTAAGAAAAATTAACTTGATTTGATCTTATATCATAAACATGCTAAAGAACTTCTACAATAAATTTTTAATATAAGCTACACAAGAGTTACATGTTATGTGAATAATTAAGCTAATTTGATAAGTTAGCGAAGAAAATGGTGGATCCTTGAGAATATTTATCTATCATATTAGTCCATATAATATTTATATTAGCCCTCACATTCTCTTGCTAAAGATACTAAACAAACTCAAGTGACCACAGTGTTAACAAATAAGGTTGACTAAAAGAAACCATTCATCACCTATTTTATATGAGGACAATTACATAAGGAGAAATTTACTGCTTCTCTGATTTCATGTAGGCCACTACAATCTACTTTAATAAATGGCATGTTCTAGCAAAGATCATTTAACTAAATGTGGTTGTAACGCTTAAATCTTGTTAAAGCCAAGACAATTATGGCTAAAACTCATGCAAGATTGTGGTGCAGACTAGTCTAATTCAAAAATTAAAATAAAAATCAAACACATTGAATATTATTAACTAGCATGATTAATAATCGTATGGACCATGTTAAGAAGTCTACCAATAACAAGTTCACTAGATCCTATAATCCATTTAAAAATTGAGCAACTACCATAACTGGTCCAAGACCACTAACATCTTTACAAACTTAATTTATCATTATTGTTATTGATTATATCTTAAAATGAATGGAAATAATTCTCTTTAGAGAGATTAATGTAGTGAAAAAATTCTCCATAATACCACAATGTTTTTCTTATTTTGAGAATCACACCAAATCATATTTGAAATAAAAAAAAAAAATTTTAAGATTGCAAAAACTATTAATTTGTTGGCACTGCTCCTCATAATATAAGTTAAAAGCCAATGATTTCTCATATTTAATTATATGTTGAACCAGTCAACATAAACCTAAGAGCCAATGATTTGGCATAGATGTTTAATAAAGAATTGATGAAATTACTCCACAAAATTTTCTCCAAAAATAATAGAGAATGTTATGAGAATTTGATAGAAAATCTATGGACATATATCCCCTTTAGAAATTACATGTGTTTGGAAAAAAAACTAAACTCCCTACTTAAGTTGAATTACACGTTTTCTTTTTCTTTTTTTTATTTCAATATGGACTTATAAGATAAACAAATGCTTAGTTATGAATTGATGAACTTCAAGAGTTGGTTGAAGTTTAGCATTAAGCTTAATAATTTTTAGAAACATATATGGTAAGGATGATTAGAAAAGATGATCTTATGCTCCATTTAAGCTATCTTGAGGTGAGTGAATTAGTTATGATTCAAAGAAGACATATTATTCCAAATAATCACTATGGAGCCCACAGCTTTCATAAATAGCCAATATCTTAATTAAAATATAGTATTCATAATTGGATTCAACATGATATAAAAAATGCTAAATGAATATAATGTCCAAGTTATCCCTTGAACAAATTAATTTATAAAAATATATTTTTTAATAAGAAAAAACAACAAATCATTTCAATTTATCAAACTTAGGAGGTCAACCTAGTAAAACTATTATTATCTTATAAGATCAAAGATTAAAATTTAGACTAAATATTGGAGCTTAGTCCAAAGAGTTATTTAAGCTCATAAACTTGCAGGCCAAGCTACTCTATTAGTTTAAGATATTTTAACAACAAAATAACATACTAATCTTAACATCAACAACTCTAAGGATTAAGCATAAAAATCAAACATCCAATTCAATAAAGATCCAAGACCAGAAACATGGTATATCTTAACTAAAAATATTAAGGTTTTAGCTACCTTGCTAATTTAACAAAGGCAAGAAGTTTGGCTACGAAACAAATCATAAGCTATAAAGTCTAAAGACTAACTTCAATTATAGGATGTCATTTTAAAATGTTTAAGGGCTAAACCAATGATACTTCTCAGCACATAACCCAATTGTCAAGTTGTTTTATTAAGCATAATAGTTGACTAAGTCTAAAATCTCAAGGTCAGTAGTTATTATATTATGTCACTCAATACGCACTCTAAATACTCTTTAATTTATGACATGAGAATGAACATTCACAACAAATAAATCATGATAACCAGCAAAATATAAAACAATAAAATGAAAACAAGTGACATTTTTAAGGGGATCAACAGTATCATTTTTTCTTGCTATTGTTGTTTCATTAATTTTCAAACAGTTTAGTCTAAAAAGAAGTTTTGGCTAATAAACATTAAATTTAGTACAATCCCCGTAGTTCAAAAAAATTCTCAAATTTGCCCCTTATGATGTTCCCAAGCTCTTCACAATTGGTAACTTCCTAATAAAAGAAATAAAAAATCTTTTTTTGCTTCTCGTGTATAAAAATGATACACAGTGCACAATTCAAGAGAAAGAACAAGAATACCATGCTTCAGTCTACTATGAAGAAACCCATTTTTGATGCTATTTCATTACTAACAATATAGTTAGACTAACTTGGTTATTGCCCTGTGGCCTCTATTTTAGAATGAAAAATGTGTTTGTTTGGGTTTTGATTAAGACGTTAGCTCGAAGATCGTTTATCGCTCGAATATTGATTTAAACTTTAGCTCGGGTCGAGATTTAGATCGAAATAACGAGCAGAGCTATGAGCCAAAACTTTGGACCAATTTTTTTCAAGCTGATTTCCAGAAATACACGAATTGAATCAAACTAGCTCAAGATATCTTGAAGTGTTTGTTATTTATAACAATATAAATATAATGATAAATAAATTTAAATATAAGGAGCTATGGGTCGATATAGAACTAGAACATATCAAAATAACTCAATTTAAGTCATCTTGTTTTGATTTTACGATAGAATGAGCCAATTGGAGTTAGAATAGATTCAAATAATTCAAATTTTAGCAGCTCATTCCGATTTAGACTCGGATCGAGTTCGATTCAATTTTGAGCCAAGCTGGCTCGAAATCGAACATAACAAGCCACAAACATATTTCAATCTGAACTCAATCCATTCAAGCTAATTATGAGTCGGGGTTCCAACTCAATTCGAAATTAGCTCATCAACAACCCTAGTTTTAATGGCACTATCAGCATACTCAATAACCATCACCCCATAACTAAAGGTTATTTGTTTGCTATAGATATTGCTTAGGGATCATTAGAGATCACTTTTAATTTTCATTTTTATTTTTATTTTATTTTATTTAACAATTTGATTTTAAAACAAAACATGTTTGGTATGTTTGATTCAGATTTGGTTATTCTTGAAAACACCTAAAAACTATTTCAAATATTTTAAAAAACAAATAAAATTTTTTTGAGAAATAAAAAAGAAAATATATAAAGAACACACTAAACAAACATGTATTTAAATATAAAAAATAAAAAAAAATAAAACCAAAAAAGAAAAATGATCTCGAGTATTCCATGAAAAGAAAAGCCTCACCAACATCATGAATTTAAGACACTTGAAATGAAGGGCAAAAAACTTTTAAAAACAAGATTAAAACTAAAAACTTCTTGATAAACAAACGCCTAATTCAAAATGTATATATGAAGCTTCATAAATCCAGTAATGCATATGACCCCGAAATGTAATTAAGCTACTAAATAAATGAACTAAGAGTGAGTATGTTAATAAAGGTCCATCCGATTGCTTGAAATTAAAATCATTTTAAACCACACACTAAACATCTCTAACGTTTCCCAAATAAATAAATGAGAATTCTATTACCATTTTCTTATAACATTTGTTAAAATGTACAAGCAACCAACTCAACCATTAAATTGATATAAAGCTTATTTTGTTCATTAAATATGCCCCGACTTTAAAATCTAGCCGAATGATTTCAGAGTAGTTAACTTTCAGTGCCATAATCTGATTAAAGCCAATTTCCAATGCATTTTACCATTACTAACTGATGTTCTTATTGTAAAGTATTAAAAAAAGACGAAAAAAAGGAAAACACTATAACTATAAGCAAAAGGTAAATTTGGTTTCGGAAACGAACAAGAGAACTACACGTCCTACGTTTCTCGATCAGGAGTTCTCTTTAACAGCTGATGAGGACATCAAATGGTGCAAAGTAGATGCATGGATCACAGCATTAGGACTTGCCTCCTTTGGTCTGGCAGAGAAGGAGCGCCTAAGTTTGTGGTTCCTCTCCTTGCTGCTTCTTAGAAGGCGCCTAAGCGGCCTGGGAAGAATTGACATTATTCGTGCGGAGCAAACAAGAAGAATGATCCCAGATATGATCAGAAGCCTGCAGTAAGAATTGAAATCAAAACAAATTCACAAATATATATATATATATATATATATATGGGCAATAGTGCA